TCATCAGAGAAATTATTGACAGAGACTTGCTTATATCTGATGTTAGCACTGATCTGGGCAGTAGGTGGAACTGTGAAGAAATTTAAGGTACCAGCTTTTCTCATCTCCCTGTACAATGAGACTATCTTCTTGGGCAGCAGCTTCCTTCTGGCGCCCAAACTATAAGAGAGCAGAGAGGGGCCAGTGTCTCCCGAGGAACCCTTAGGAGCCAACCTTCGGCTTCTACCCAGCCACAGGTGGGAATGGGATCTCCATTAATTTAGATTTCTTTAGCAGCCAGGAACAAAAACCAACTCATAGTAGTTTATGTGGGAAAGAGGACTTATCGGATGAATATTTGAATACGTCACCGAATCTAATGAAGAGTTGAGCAACTGTTTTTCCGGAAGGGTGAGGACCAGTGTGGGATCTCACTGGGGATCTCAGAGTAGTGATTACCTTTCTTCCAGAGACCTACTGTTAAACAGACTCAGTTCTTAAAGATTTCCAGTCTCTGGGTCTTTATTCCATATTTTATATTCACCACTGAGAGACTCTACTGGCCCAGCCGGTATTAGGTATCTATTCTTGACTAATTGTGGCCCTCTGACTGGGGCAGAGTCAAGCAACAAAAATGGCTGCCAGAAATCACTCCAATGGAGTGCTCAAGCAGTTCTCTGAGAAGTTAATATACTAAGTTTAGGCTATTTAGGTATTGGCATCCTATTACTCTGTAACAAACCTGGGGAATCAAGATGGCCTTCCTTAAAATTTTTTTTTTTTTAACATTTATTTATTTTTGAGACAGAGAGAGACAGAGCATGAATGCGGGAGGGTCAGAGAGAGAGAGGGAGACACAGAATCTGAAACAGGCTCCAGGCTCCAAGCTGTCAGCACAGAGCCCGACGCGGGGCTTGAACTCACGGATGTGAGATCATGACCTGGGCCGAAGTCGGACGCTCAACCGACTGAGCCACCCAGGCGCCCCAAGATGGCCTTCCTTAAAAATGGAAGAAAACTCATCATCTCTGAGGCATTAAATTTGGCTACAGATCTTTGGGGAATCTCCACTATTTCCATGAAATAATGGGTCATCAAATCCCTCACCACCCGTGTATCAGTTATGTATTGCTGTATAACAAATCATGCCAAAACTTAGTGGCTTAAAACAACAGCTGTCTTTATTTGCTCGTCATTTTGTGGGGCAGTAATTTGGGATGAGCCTAGCTGGGCAGTTCTACTGGTATCATCTAGAGTCACTCATGAGGCTTAATTATCTGGAGGCTTGAATGGGGCTGGATAGTCCAAGGTGGCTTCACTCACTTACCTCACTTACCTGCCATTGGGCCTCTTTCTCCATGGCCCTTTAAGCAGGAGAGCCAGGCTTCCTCATATGGCATCACCGTGTTCCAAGAAGCATCTTGAGGCCTGGACTTGAAAGTTTCACTGTGTCACATCACCGCATTCTACTACTTAAAGCAAGTCACAGGTCAGCCAAGACTCAAGGGCAGGGCGAATAGACTGTATTTATTTCTATAGGAAGAATGTCAAAGTCATGAGCACACAGAAATAAGGTCATTGTAGCCATATTTGCAAATAATCTACCATGCTTGGAACCTAGCTTCATCAAAACAAACAAATCAAAAAATATCCAAGCATTTGTAACCAATTTCAAGCCATGGAAAAAGTTGAATGACATGGTATTATAAAGTTCCTGTGAGAAATTAATAGTCAAAAAAACAAACCTTAACATTTCTGTAATTCACAGGATAATTATGAATATGCATAGCCAAAAGCATATAGGATTGAATGAAAGGGGGGTTGGATTACAGATCAAGTCTTGTTACCAGCTTTCTCTGTTAATTGTTCGAAACACCTAACACTCGAGCCTCAGTTTCCCTATGGATCAAATAAGGAAACCTACAAACCACACACTGTTCATGAGAAAGAGCTCTGTGAGCTGTAAAAATGCGATATAAATGAAAAGTCATTAAAAAGAAATCAAATCATGAAATCTTGTCTTTCTCCTCTCCTCTGGTTACGTGGTTTAAAACAAGGAGTGATCTCAGGCTTATGTTGCTACAAAAAATCTGTTTTTACAAAAATTTTCTTTCATTTAAATGCTTTTTGATGATTTGCCAGTGAATGTAGTGCAATCTATGGTCTTTCTAAGTGCACAAAAATGTGTGAAATTAAAACACCCAAGAAGAGAATAATTGGATGTATCCATTTGGGGAAAAAAGGAAATTGTGTGGTAAAGAAAATGAGCTTAAAAGCATACGAGAGACTGTGTCTTTTAGACTGTGTAAGAATAATTAGATGAGATTCCTCTGTGTGGACAGTTTTAAGAGAAAATGATTTGAAATGGTAGCCTGTGTGCCAAGCTAGGTATGAGAGTTGAACACACAGTTAACTTTGAAGAAGTAAAAGAAAAAAACTTCTCTACAAAGCAACAACTAATTTCCTTGGGGAATGAGTCGTGATGAATATAAAAACACCAGGCTTTAGTGTTTCTAGAGAAAAAGGTGATACGGACAGGATCAGTGAGGGCTTGGAAGAGGCTTGTGAGGTCCCCTCAGCAAATATGGGAGAATGTGAATACATTCTCCAGAGTTTCATAACCTCCATTTGTCCCTTACTCTATGTGTGATGCGCTTCGCCACACTATGTTTTTCCTCCTGACTCCAGCACGCTTCCATGCATCCTTGGCAGCCAGTATTCTGCATCAAGCACACGTGACATCTGTGGGTGCCGTGTTCTCAGTGTCTATGCATGCCCAGAAATGTGGGGAAGGTTATCACTCTCTAGGGCCATCTTTAATTACTGGGCAATAGGAATTGGTGGAAAAAGGAATGCCTCAGCCTCCCTGTGTTCTAGTGCAGGGCTTGACAAACTTTGGCCAAATCCTTCCCGTCTGTTTTTATAAATAAAGATTTATTAGAGCACAGCCGTGCCCGTTAATTTACGTATTGTCTATGGCTGCTTTTATGCTGCAGTGGCAGAGTTGAGTAGTTATGACAGGGACTGCATGGCCTACAAAGAGAAAAATATGTAACATCTGACCCTTTACAAACCATATTAGCTGACCTCTGCTCCAGTGGGACAATGCTGAGGCACATTCTCCATGTTTCCTCAGAGTGTCCCCAACAAGATGGAGACCCAGTCACCCATAGCAGTAACCAGCACAAATGCACACTTTATCGGCTTTTTGCCCTTTCTTAGCTCTCTTTCCCCCTACTCCTTCACTTTTTTTTCCGGGATCACTTTCCGAGTAAACTGTTTGCACCAGAGAACTCCTCCTTTTGTAAATATAAACTAAGACAGAATTCAATCCTCCTTGGTAATTATTTTTCATGTTTTAGTTAGAAGACTGCCCTAATATTTTACTTTGTGACACATCACACATAACATGCACATAACCAAAACACACACATATAACCTATCTCCAAAACAAATGATTTATTAAATAATATTTATCTTTCCTGTCACTAATATACACTTGTATTTTCTATTCCATTTTACTCTCTTATATTTCATGGAAAAAAATATTCTGGTCATGAATATTAAATTGATTTCAACACAGCCCTAGTGGTCCATTTACCAGTTTTTGAACCAGAATAGGTCAGCGAGTGGTCACAGGCCTAGCTTGCACACACTTCGGGTCCACAAGGCTTCGATTCAGATTGCCTGGCTAAAGAAATGCAGATTGGGTATCTGGGAGATGTGAGCAGGAACTCTTAACTCTAAGGGCAGAAATTCTTTGCCTCCATCCTAAGAAGAACAAGGGGAGATATGTGAGAGGATGAAGGAAAGGGAAAATTGCCTTTAAGTGAAGGAGGAAGACCAAGGAAGAGATAAAACCCAGTGGAGTGTGAAACTGCCTAGAGCTACAAATCATCCCTTCATTTTGCATTGCATAAAACTGCATCCATGTGTAAAAGCAACAAATAGTAACATTTGAGTGAACATAAATAATCAGTTGAATTCTTCCTGTATTTTAAAATTGATGTCTTCCATTAGTTACCATTTATGTCATCTTTATATCTTTACCCATGATTCCAGATGACCTCCTCCTACTTAATACCATACTATGTGGACTTTTCCTACCTCTCTGATTACTGCTCTTGATCTCTTTCTTTGGATTCTCTTCTAGAAATTGCTCTTAGCTGTTGGTATTTTTCAGGGATCCTTTCTCAACTTTATGAGTTTCTTTCTTTTTTTTTTTTTTTTCATGCTACACACTTTCCTTAATCAATTTCACCCACTTCCGTGGTTTAATGACCATTTCTGTGCTCCTGGTCTACAAAATAAATACCTTCAGGCTGAATCCTCTCCCCTTCCAGATTTATTTACCCAACTGCCTACTTAATATCTAGACCAAGTGTAATACATTCTAAATTGAACCCTCATCTGTAATGCCCACCAAGTCTTCTGATCTCCCCTGTCCTGCATTCTGTCTTTTCCACCATTGGTACGATCACCTAGACCAGAAATCTGGAGCCTGCCTAAACTCCTTTTATTTCTCTTCTCCATCCAAATGGTCATATGTCCTAAATATTTTTAAAGTTATTCTCCTCCTGTGTTTCTGTTGATATTTTCCTGGTTTTGAGCATCATCTTTCCCTTGTATTATTGGAATAATCCATCTCTTGATATCCCTGCCCTCAGTCTCTCCCCATTCAATTGTTTCTTCATAAAGCCACCAGGGTCATCTTCTAAAATGCCCCAGTCAGGGTTCGGATCAGGGAAACTGAAACTGCATGAAGCATTTTGAGCAGGGAGATTTAATGCTGCCAAATCATGCTTATAAAATATTGGGAAAGTTGTAGGACTGTAGGTCAGAGAAGGTTGTTGATGGCTCTGAAGCCAGTAGGCCTACAATGTGGTAGTAAACTTTCTCAGGGAAGAGGAAGCAGCTATTGTTGCCCTGGTTAAGAACTTCAGAATACCGTTCAGAATAGTAACATTCATAACTGTCTATAACACCACAGTGGGTACTTCACATACAGCAGGATGCTAATAACAACCTAATGTTTGTGGAAGCTCAAACATTTGCCTACCACTATTGGAGAAGTAATGGTGGCCTTTGATTTCCTTCTACCTTCTGAAAGCCTATCAGGATGCTGAATTGGTGGACTTTAAACTGGAATACTGCTGACAAGAGATCTGGGAAATGTTTCCCCAGATTTCCAACTCCTATGGTACAGGAGAGAGCATAGGAGTTGGAATAGCTTTGAGGACCACAGGTAATCCAGTATACTCTCCATCGCTGGTAGGCTAAAATCTAAACTGCTCAACCGTGACAAACCACATCCTTCATGAACCAGTGTCTTCCTACTTCTCTACTTGTCTCTCTCCACTCTCATTTCTTCCTCAGTGCCTTTGTTATTCAGTTACTAACTTGCAGTTCCATGACTGAACTTTACAGTTTCATGCCTTAATACGTTTGCATATGCTGTTTCCCATGTCTGGAAGTCTTCCTACCCCCCCCCCCCCCACAGTGGCCTTCTTGACAAACTTCTGTTCACTCCTAAGACCCCAATGCAAAGATTTCCCCTTCTGTGAAGTGTTCTTGAACGCTTCTGTGAAGCCCTCAGTAGGGCTGACCCTGTCTTGTACCAGCACTGTGCTTTGAACTCACCTCTTTATTTTGTGGCTACAATATTGATTTGTGTCTCTGCCTCCCCTGCTACACTTTGAACTCCTTAATTGTTTCTTTTTTCTCTTTATCCCCCAGTGCCTGCCTGGTGTTTGGCTTATAATAGGTGCTCAATTCACATGGAACAACTGAGTAGGTAAAAGCTTCTCTAAGGCACTGTGCCTTAAGGTCATAGCATTAACGAAATTGCCTATAAGAGATATGAGGAACCAGACCCCTTGTAATAGAGATAGCACTTGCTAAATTCTACCCTATGGAAAATGGTTATGTAGGTAGATTGCAGCTGTGTTCCAATTCACAGCCTGTATTCCTTGTCATATCTAAGTGATTATTTGGCAGCTGCCTGCATTTCTACATCCCAAATATCTTTTCAAATGGATTCTGAACTTGGAAATGGTGTTGGACCTTGGTTGGATACAATTCAGCTTAAAAAATACACATACTCATCTAGAATGCCTTCTTGCTTTGTTAGACTGTGAGCTTTTGAAGAAGGAAATGATTATGGGGTTGGGGATGGGAAAAGGGAAAGCTGGCCATCTTTCTGAACAGAGAATGAGGAGGAGTGGATTGGTTTCCTAGGAGATAGGCTTTTCTTTATTTGAAGTTTTTCTACAGAACGATTTCTGTACTGGTGTCTTCTCCTTAGTCATAGGAGCTCACCATCAGAGATGCATCTCAGAATTGCTTTCAATCAGCAGCTGCCAAAGGTGAGCTTAACGTTCTTGGTCCTTACTTTCTCTACAGGAGACTAATAAAGGCAACTAATAATACTAATTACAATGGACACTTTAGTGATTTAATCACCAGGACAGGCACTTTTAACACTGAATCTCCTGGTAGATCATAAGCTCATCCCCTCCCCCCCATATAACTTCTGAAACAGTTGTCCCACATACTGCCTTCTGAGCCACTTTCTCCCACCAGGTTTTCTCAGATTCTCTGAAAAGAAGGCAGTACAATAAATAATCTCTTCGTCCAAGGACTTTAATATCAGTAGCATTTCCCTTCCAAGAAATCTCTTGGCTTCAAAGGAATCAAAAGTAACATCTTATCAAAAAGAGATTGTGATTCTACCCTGTGTACCTGGGATTAGACAGAGCCAAATTCCTTTGTACGCAGCTTTTATTTGTTAGCTAGATGGAGGTAACCGAGACGGTCTTAGGTAAAAGCATGCAGAAGCTAGAAGTTACCCTAACTCCTATTTTAGCATTTTCCCTACCTCCAGTGATGACTGCTCATCCCCAAGGTCAAAGAAGGACTATATGGACACCACTAAGGTACTGCACTGCAGGAGACATGTTTCTAAGTGTTTGTTTAGCTCATATATCTCTTCTCTGAGGACTATCACCCTCAGTTGGGGCCCCCTACTCACCTGTGTTCTGTAAGTGCCTGAGCTTCTGATATCTGCTGATTCAATCAAGGTAGATTTCAGACTCTAGCTGAGCTAGGTAATTCTCCCTCCCAGTGAATTTGAGTCCAAGAAATGCTGGTTTCTCGCTGAGCTGGCTCTGTGAATTGAGGGGATTGTCAAGTCAAGAGTTGTGCAGTAGCCATGCAGGAGGTTGGGAGAGAGAGAGAGACAGAAAGAGAGAGATAGAGAGAGACTGAAGAGAGGTGGGAACATTTAGTGCAGCTTATACAAATCCCTCAGTGAATGTAGTTTGTTGTTATTGTTACTGGTATTATATTTCTGAGTCGCACTGAAAACTGTGAAGATAGACAGGGCCCTTGAAGGGAAGAGGATTGTGGTTAGTACAAGTGTTGACAAACTCTTCCTCTTCCTTTATTTTTTGGACCTTGGAAATAAATCAGAACTTGACGACTTCCACCTTAGGAAAAGCTTAGCTTGAGCAGGGTGGTGTCTGGACCTGTGCATAGAAAAATTTGTAAGGAGGCTGCTTCTTTAGTTATCCTCTGAGCCCTGACCTCCTTAACCTGGAAAGCATGTAATCTGCCTGTAGGGCCCACTCAGGTTTGACTGGAGGTATTTATATCTCAACACTTGCCATGGAAATTAATATCTCCTGCAAATGTTGCCGGATTTCTGCAGTTTACCCAGCCAAGAGGAACCATGAACTTTCTTCCTGGGCTTTCCAAACCTTCCCCTCCCCTTGTCCTCTCTGCTTACTTCAGGTACTTACTGCCTCCTTTGCTTCCTCTGGTCTCCCAGTAGATCAAGACTGTAGCAATTTTAGTTATTTTTGTTCTTCACTGTGAAAGCTGTGTCAGACCTAGAGCCACTAGAAGCATATTTATGAAGGACGACTCAGCACAATATATGCACCCGGAGGCTCCCTTAATATAGGTGCCCTGAGGCTTCTGCTGGGTATGGCTTCAGGACGAGGATCCCATTCTGCAAGAGTGCAGGCCTTCTTGTCTAACTGCGGCCCTGTCTTTTACTCCATGCTGTTCCCCTCTGCCTCCAGACTGTCGTCCTGAGTCCATATTGAGCAATCCCTTTGGCTGCCTTGGCCTAGCATCCAACTTCCTTCCTGGCCTTCTTACTTTCTCCTCTCTTCTCTCTTCCCTCTTCTTTGATGCATGGTAATCAGGGAGAGCTGTCTATCCACAGTTCGCCTCATGAGGGGAGCAGTATAGTTGCCCTGATCAGCAGCATCTCAAGGGTGGGACAGAGAGTAGTAGAACTTGACAGTATGACCAGGGGCGCCAAAGACCTCAACTGTGGATTGTATTAGGCAGGGAGAGAACACTGAGACAGAACAACATGTGGCAATAGTTTTGGAGCCAGGATTCTGGTCTTTTTTTTTTTTTTTTTTTTTTAATTTTTTTTTTCAACGTTTTATTTTATTTTTGGGACAGAGAGAGACAGAGCATGAACGGGGGAGGGGCAGAGAGAGAGGGAGACACAGAATCAGAAACAGGCTCCAGGCTCTGAGCCATCAGCCCAGAGCCTGACGCGGGGCTCGAACTCACGGACCGCGAGATCGTGACCTGGCTGAAGTCGGACGCTTAACCGACTGCGCCACCCAGGCGCCCCCAGGATTCTGATCTTTTAATGATGCTGGGGATGGACATTTACAAAGAATTCAAGAACGCCAAGAATATTGGCGTAATTTGTGAATACCATAGAACAAACAGTGTGAAAATTATGCTAATTTTAGTGATTTATGAGAATGACTTACCCTTTATAACTAATTACTGCATGTACTATATTATACACATCATTAATAGGTGTCAGATTGATTTTAAGTTTTATTTGATCACAGTGCTAAATCCCTCACATGCATGCTCAGTCTTCTTAGATGACACTGGCTTTTGTTCACAACTTCCAATAATTAGGAGAAGCACTTATTGGAGACTGAATTAGGACAGATCATGTGGCTATGGTAAAACCATTGTTTATTTAACAATAACTATTCAAAATATGATATGGGTTGCTATATTTGAAAATGATGTGGGTACAATTACTATATATTTTCCTAGATTTTATTGGAGAGGTCGGGCGGGCTTGACTTCCATTCCATTCCTCTACAGCTACACTGTCCACTAGCCACATGTGGCTATTTAAATTAAATTAATTAAATCAATTTCTCTGGTATACTAGTCACATTTCAAGAGGTCAGTAGCCATATGTAGCTTGTAGCTAGCTACTAAACCGCACATATAGAACATTTCCATCAGTCTAGAAAGTTCTGTTGGTCAGTGCTGCCAAAGTCTTGGCAGTGTGAAAGTTAGTCTATCTAACTTTGGTGGTCTATCACCCATAGAATGACTAAGTCAGGTTGCTCTGAATTTTTTGCATAGAGGCGGGGATCAGGGAACCTCAGGGCCCCCGCTCGGGGGGAAATGAGTGAGTGTAGCAGTGACTGGAAGGAATAGAGTCTCCCTTGGGAAAGCTGTAACAGCACGTCAGGGAGCTCAGGCAGGAAGTGGGGAGGAGATAGCACAGGCAGTGTGGATCCCATCACTGCTCATGGGAGCAAGTTGCTACTCTTTACTGTTGCCTTGTACAGTGGGTTACAGAGAAGTCACATCCATATTAGCTCAATTCATTGGTTCTATAGCGTTTGGAGTACTGTTCAATAAAAAACTTGCAGAGTGAATGAATGACATGACAGACAGCAGATTGTAATCATTTCAACAACTCTCATGCATACAGTTTATGTACCTCTTTAATGCCTTCTTTCATTTAGTCCTTATATCCATTAAAATTTTTTTAATGTTTTTTTTTTAATTTTATTTTTGAGAGAGAGACAGAGCATGAATGGGGGAGGGGAAGAGAGAGAGGGAGACACAGAATCCAAAGCAGGCTCCAGGCTCTGAGCTGGCAGCACAGAGCCTGACATGGGGCTCAAACCCACGAACTGCGAGATTGTGACCTGAGCCGAAGTCGGCTGCTTAACCAACTGAGCCACCCAGGCATCCTCCTGGTCCTTATATCCATTTAAAGTGAGAAAGAAACATATTATCGTTCTTTTGCTGATGAGAAAAAGTTGGGGCTCGGGATCACCCAGCTAGCAAGTAGCAGAATTGTGACTCAAATTCGGGGCTTAGGCATGTTCCATGCCATTGCCTGGCCTCTTAGTGCCTTTTTAATAAGAGTATTTCCAACAGTAGACTGCTGATGTGGTAGGATTCAAGGACGTCTTTGACACTTAGGGTTTCCCAGGGACCAGTTGATTCAACTTTGATAGGATTTTTAAGTTGTTGGCACGATGCTTGGTTTTTATTGTTCACATTTGCCTGAATTCGTGCTTTCAGGCTTTCGTAGACAAGACTGCCTGGCATTCTGAAGCGGTGGCTTTTACACTGTCTCCCACCAATTCCAATATTTCACGGAGGGGCTGCAGAGGCTGCTATGGGGGTGGGGCTCAGTGGGGAGGCCTTGGGTTTGGGCTCTGGGCTGTTCAGGACTGATATGCTTTCAACTATTTTTATATATTTGACATTCCAGAAAAAAAAATTCACTTGAAAAAAAGGTTCTTTTGCTAACGGTTAGAAAAAGAATCACTGTTCTAAAGGATTTTTGTGGCAGCTTGCTTCCTGTGACAAGAAAGTGGGGCAAGCTGAACTCTCTGCCCAGGCATCATCCAGGAACCGGATTCATCTGTAGACCAACCAATACTTTCTTTCTACTTACAAACACACCCTAGAACTTCAGAGTCCCCTACATCCTACAGAGCCAGCCCTCAGGCAGGAGGGGGGACCAAGGGACGCTGTGTGGGGACTGGAGGGCCCGTCGTTTTTTGACAGAGCTGCCCTATTGTCTTCTTCTGCCACTTTGCTCTCATTCTCTTCTCAGGCAGGAGCCCTCTTCACTGCCCGAGCCCACAGCATCTGCGAAATCCTCCCTCTCTGACTTGACACATGGTCCTAAGGGCTTGTTGGCCAGAGTCCGAAGCAGCTGCCAGATTGCTTCGACTCAGACACCACCAATCTGGGCCTCATCTTGTCTGCTGGATTCCGTTGTTGCTCGCCTATCTGCAAAGCGAGGAACTTTCAAGAAGGTCAGAGAATTCCCTGACGGCACCTTTTGGATTTCTTGCTCCTCTCTTGCTAAAATTGATTGCATAAGCCTGGATTTTTACATTATAATTCTGTCCCTGCCTAACGTTTATGCTGTAATTAATCTGAAAGCTCTTAATTTTTCATTGATAGATTTGAATAAGCATGCTGCTGTTGTCAGTACAAAAAGGGAAAATGAGGTGTGTCATGTGGGAACTAGAAAATAAGGCTAACTTGTGACAGGAAAACTAAAAAAAAAAAAAAAAAAAAAATCCAACATAGTGAACGAGATCAGTCATTTTTAAAATTTATACACCTTGAGGAAGAATCCAGAAATTGGTGCCTAGAGGGCAATACCAGTGGGGTAACACTGTCGTATAAAGAACAAGATAACTACAATAAGGTTTCAGCAAGATGAAACGGTACCACAACCTTTTTTCCAGTTTTACTGAGAAATAACTAAGGTATAACACTGTGTAACTTTAAGGCATATAGCATGATGTTTGATAAGCATATATTGGGAAATGATTACCAGAATATGGTTCAGCTAAACAAAAAAGAAAAAAAAAGAAAACAGGAAAACAATTCTTGTGATGAGAACTCTTAGGGATTTACTCTTTTAACAACTTTCCTATATACCACGCAGCAGTGTTAACTACAGTCATCATGCTGTAATGACATTTGCAGTATTTTTTTATTTTATAACTGGACATTTGTACCTTTTGACCACCTTCCTCCAATTCCGCATCCATCCCCTGCCTCTGGTAACCACAAGTCTGACCAATATTTCTATGTTTTCCTTTCTTTCTTTCTTTCTTTCTTTCTTTCTTTCTTTCTTTCTTTCCTTCCTTCCTTCCTTCCTTCCTTCCTTCCTTCCTTCCTTCCTTCCTTCCTTCCTTCTTTCTTTCTTTCTTTCTTTTTTTT